TGTTGTTTAGTGTCTTCATTCACTGATCCAATCCTATAGAAAGTTCTTTCCTTACATGTCGTTGTGATACGAAAGGTGGAAGGTAATAAAGTTTATAGAGCATAGGTTTGACTGTCGTAGAATTACGGGGCCGAATTGTTTCTGAGCCAGTTCCCCATTGTTCTTTTGAGAGAAATAAACAAGAATCATTACATAGATCCGCCGACACGCTGTAGTGGCTGTTACAGATTGCGTTGATCGTGGAATTGCAAAGGAGTCCTACAGCCTGCACACCTTTTTTTCTTTCCTTAGGTATTGACTTGTAGGAATAGGAATTTCTCCATTTACCTGTGTTTTCCCATTCTTTATGACTGTCCCCTCTTCAACGTTTGTAAATTTATTTTCTTGATATGCCTAGACTTTTCGTCATTCCAATGTTTGGCCTTCCAGTTTTTTTAAAGCAATACGAGAACAGTTTATTACACAACGCAATTTTATAATCTCTCGGGTGTAAGACGGATACCAATGTATCGACTGTATCTTTCGAATGGTTGTCTGCGGCGGGTAGTTTGCTTTGACCCGAAGGACAGTAAAAAGCGGGAAGATTTTTTTCAAAAATTTTATACGGTGGAGTTCTTGCTTTAAAGAAAGCGTGTGAGGCAAGGCCAAAATTTGTGTTAGAATTTCGTCTTCCCAATTCATTTATTGCATTGCCTTTTGTTGAGTAAACTTTGCGCTGCTTTATTTGCAATATGGTCACCAATTCATCTGCATATTACTCAAAATTCAGTAGGTGTATGTAAGCAATCGTCTAAATAGTGTAATTTGATACCCGCTCAGTGAATCTTTGCAGTCGACGTGAAGCTGATCCTGAACTTTCTTTGTAAAATCTTAATTTAGCTGAAAGTTTGGAAGCCGCGCTGACTGCCGAGACAAACGACGTCATTCCCCAAGATATGCCATCGCAGGAAGATGGTTCAGCTGAAGACAGCGACGTAGATTCTAGTCAGAAGCTCAAAAGCGTGCCTCTAGTGAAACGAGAGAAATTCACTCAGTTGCGTAAGTATCATTTCGGTTGGTTGTTATTTCCTGAACGCACGGTTTGCCAACCGCTTCTAATAGTCATGATAACTTTATGTAACGCGCAACACAATCGTACGTTAGGAGGAGATTTCGACTTTCTTGCCACCTCTCTTCAGCACACCTCGCAATCTTGTACTAATGCATCACTGTGCGATGTGTAATATAAAATGTCCTATTAAATTTCAGTGGTCTCACAGCATTGAGCTACTTCAAACTTAACTTAACCTTAGTAACTTTAAATCATGGCCATTGCTTGACAGTCTTTCAGCCAACGTGGAAAGCCATGAATATGAACTATCCTGTTAGAAGTGCTACTAATTCGCTGGTTATGTATGTTACCGTCCAGATTGGTAATCCGTCAATACCAGAGTGGACAGAAACTGATTTGTGGTTTAGTCCAAGCTGGCAGTATCGCGGTCTTAATGAATTATTACTAAGTCTACTATTATAGCTAATTGTCTGCATTATCTCCTGCATGTTTAAGTTTCTGCCATGGCTATGATGTAGGCTGAAGTTTAGGCAGTCATACGGTAAGATCCAGATACTACCGATTTGGACTAAAAAGCAAATTTTTTCTCGGTATCTACCGGCATGGACTGATTATCACCCTCTATGTAAAAGCATGTACGTCCAGAAGACTTGTTATGGCTTATATTTTTCTTTCAACGCTTCAGCCAAACGGCGTGGGTCATCCATTCTCAGGACAACTGGTGAGATCGTGCAAGCTCAACAGTAATGCTCAAAATTGCCTGCTACAATAGGTAAATGCAGTTACAGCAGGCGGTGACAAACGAAAAGTTTTACACGAAGTACTTGACTACACCCCGTGCCCAAGATACATCGAGTGAGTTGGCATTACCACTGCACATCCTAGGTATGTGCAGTAATTCTTTGCTAAACAGTTTCACCCTGTCTCTTTGTTGATCGATTGCAGTGATATTTGTTTTTTCTCGTCGGTGGTCATTTTCTATTGTCTAGGTTAAAAGCCCAAGCGTTTTCCGGATGATTTGTAATGGCTCTTGTGTATTAATTCATATATAAGGGTCTTGAAGGACTAAGAGTAATCGTTTTGATATATAACTATAACCATAGTTGTTACACTGAATGGAGTAAACAAAAGGGTTAATTTCCGTGCGAGGATGGTTATAAAATTTCTTCATAGTATCCTAAGCTTATCAAGACTTTGAAGCAAGTTAAGGCATAATTTTCTCTTACAACGAAATATCCTGAAAAGTATTCGTTTTAACATACTTTTTTAATTATCTCTCATTTTCTAATAGTGGTTTGCGTTTCTAGAAGAAGATCTTCAACTCAGCGAATCGTCCGATGATGACTGACCCAGTTTGGTCGGTGACGCTCTGAATGATTGGGCTAAAGTATATTTTTTGTACTACCGTTCTCTTACGGTTTTGAATTGCTACCAAATCTTTTCCCCCACAGTGACATCA